ATTTATTATTTTATGATATATGTTACATTAAGACTACACTAAAAAGAAATAGAAAGGAAAAGGTTTCTTCAGAAGCTAGCTAAGCTAAGAATAGAAAAGAATGAATAACAAAGATCTGTGTCTCAGACAGAGAGCAAGAGCCAGCTCTGCCATGAGTTGTCAGTAAATCCAAACATCCACAGGAGACCAATCACAGGTCTACCTGTTGCATTCCGCAGCAGCAGATAACCATTGTTTACTTTTAGTTGCTGAAACTGCAGCTTCTCACAAGGAAAAATCCTAAGAAAGGATTTTTCATGAAAGATGTCTGCAACAGCACTGCAACACAGCAGCACTTCCTAAATGTGGTACAGATGTGATGTGTCCCATAGAATGAACTATAAATGTACTTTGTACCTACAGAACCACAGGTTTTGTCATTGCCCAGGGCATAGCCAGCAGCACAGGGACTTATGATTCTTCCATCTTCTGTTTTTCAGAATTGCTCCCAGTTCTCAAGTTGACCTTGCATCACTTGGTATGACTGCAAAGGAGACAAATGTATAGGCAGGTTACAGGTTTGTGGTGACTTCCTAAAAGCACAAGCAGCTTATAAAAGCTGGCTTGCAAGCATTAGTCAAACACCCCACACCACTTTAGGAAATACAGTACAATTCCTGCAAAAGGCCTTTGTAATAACAATAGTTGTATTATTATTTAAAAATTGGTAAGCTGTCAACATTAGGTAGAGCACTATTATTCCACATCTTATGCTGTGTTTCCCAGCTGTAACTAACAGCTTTCAGAGGGCAATTCAAGGAGTAATCTGTACTTGCCAGAACAGCTATTGTACTAAGGCAAAGATGAACATGGGTGTGGGTAAGAGGCAAAAAACATCAACAACTAAAGCATCAGTAACAAATGAGGTACTGGGCTCTTGCTATATCCTTGCAATATTCCTTTTCCATCTGTATATGGCTCGTGCTACCTTAGCTCAGTCCTGGAATTGCAAGATCACAGGCAGAGTGAGAGAGCTCTTCCTGGCTCTAACAGTGCAAGAGCAAGTAAACTGCTCCTAAAGATGTTGTCTAACCTGCTCCTGCAGATTCCTAATGAGATTCCACAGCTCACCCACACCTTAATGCACTCCTTAATTAGCCTTAAAATGTCTAAAAAGTGTTTTCTAATGTCTAATCTGAGTAGCCCTTAGAGTGGTGGGATCCCATTACTTCCTGTCCTAGCTGTTCATCCTCATGAAAACAAAGAAGTCTTGCTTTTATTCCATATTTCACAAATCTCTGTGGTTGCATGTTGTGGGACCAAAGGTGAAATTTTGGTTTTGTGTTTACATAATTGCCTTCTATTTACGTTGGACTGGTGTTTCAGTTTCCCAAGACTGCCTGAATGCTCATCTCAACTTATGGTAGTCCTTCCAGTCTGGAATGAGGTAAAAAAGCAGTGAGAAAACTCTCTTTTGTCTTGCACGTTACTGTGGAAAATACCAGTGCCAGAGGTCTTCAGAGGTGTGGAGATTTGCACTCCATATAATCTTTCAATCAAGTAGCACAGTGTCTTGACCAGATTGGCACCAAACTTACAGCTGTTTCTCTTTCTGTTGCAATAAAAGTGTCAGATAAAATTATGTTAGAAGCCTCCCTTGAAGGAGAGACCAGAGGTTTACTCCATCTTTTGCAGCCACACAGACTATCATCCTGTCTTTGCGGAAAAGTGATGTGAGTTTTCCTTTGGAGAAATTTGATGTGATTATTTTCCTGAATAGTGCAGTTCAGCAGTTTCTTTCCCCCTTGTTGGGTGCAAGTTATTTGGTAATTTAAGGAAGAAAGACTTTCTTCTCCATTGGGCACAGACTAACACTCATGTTCTTTCTTCCATTATTCAAATACTTAGATCAGCTCTTGATTTTATATCACATGTACCTTGTTATATTTACTTCTCAGCTTTTCTGGTTTTATGTCAGGACGTTTACAATTCTTTTATACAGAGCTAGGCACTTTAACACTTGTTTTTGGAGGTCAGGTCACAAAAGATCTCACCGTTTTAATCAATTGTCCTGTACTTTCCTGACCTTGGGACAGCTTTGACATATGCCTTAAAAACTTTGGGGGTTTGTGGGGATTTTAGAAGTAGCTTTCTTTTAAAAATACATTAATTTTATTCACGTATTCATTGTTCTTTTTCTTTACTTCATTAATGAGTTCTGTCATTTTTACACTTAATTTTATAGAAGCTACCTTCCATCTTTGTTTTGTCAGCAATTTCTAGTCTGTATTTTAACATTAAATGCACGTAAGTGCACTCAATTGCTTTTGACATGTTTATACAAGATCATCCTTGAAACATTCTGAAGACTCTCAGGGCACCCTGTGTCTCACTAAGTACCTCTCCCATCTCATCTCTGGGATGTCAAAATCGACCTCTAACTCATAGCTCTTGTAATGGTGATGACTCAGGTGTTTGTTCAGTTGTCTCCAGTCAGAGACAACAGCAAAATTGAAACATAAGGCACACATCATGTCCACAATGTGATTCATACATTTACTCTGTAGAGAAGATCTCAGGGTCCAACCTAAAGGGGAGGTGGGATGATTGATCATGATGGTGATGGCTTGGTGGAGATGTAAAAAACTACAGTGGGTCCTGGGGTAGGCATCTCATTCCCATCTACACTGTTAAAAATTGTGGGGTTTGTTATGGCCCTCAGTAGCTTATCATTAGTTAGCAAACATTATTTAATTATCATATTTCTTGAGAATGTGAAGAATAGCTCATTACTTGTGCTGAGCCTTTGAAAACACTACATATCAACATACAGAACCCATAATTTACACTGACACAATTGTCACTCCAAAATGGAATTAATTCCCCATGTGCCTCAGCCCTGGGTATCATTACACTGCAGCTGGCAAAGTGGAGCAAGGTTGGTGAGACAGCAAAGCCACCTGGTGTTCACTCATTTCCCTTGCCCCGCAAAGCAAAATTATTGACAGCTACCTGCATGGTTTAGGCAAAGCAGCACAAAGCCAAGGTGAAGCAAGCACTCTACCTGTCTGCCTCATCTGGAGGAAAAGGAGGACAACAGGAAGAAGCCCCATTGTCCCACGGTGACCTGCCATGCCCGTGCTCCGAGCGCGCTGCGCGTCACCCACTGCTCGCTCTGCAGGGCTCTGGGGCAGCTGTGAGGGAGAAACACCACAGTGCAAGGGTCAGCCACTCATGAGAAAACAAAACCTCCGAGAGCAAAGTCTGCACTCAGTGTCACCACGGCACAGTGTTCAAACACAACACACGTGCGTGTGCTGCAGCAATGCCCCACTGATAGCTTTGTGCTGGCAGAGCACCTCTAAGAGGCTTTCCTCTGGAAATTTGGACAAAGCCTCTCTAAAGCAGCTGGACTATGCAGGCAGCCAGGAGCTATAGTGGGTGATGGGGCTCTTGCCCATGTCCCAAGGAAGGCAGACAATCAGAGCCAGAGCTTTGTGCCTCCTGTATGCTGGGCCAAAGCAGGAAGGCACTCCAGGAAGTGAGGAGTAAATCAGGGCACCGAGTTTGCAGGTCTCAGGGAGCACCTTGCAAAGTTGTTACCCACCAGCTCTGTCACAAGCACACTTGGACAGAGCACACTTCCACAGATTCATCAATTTCCATCCCATTGTGAAAGTTGGGGGATTATGGGTTTTATGTGCTGTTTCCTTTAGTTCAAAGCACTCCAAGGGGACAGCTCTTGACAGGCCATTGGGCTTTGGGAATAAGCTATGGAAGACAATCCTGCCAGGTCAGTCACCTGGGCCAGGGAGCAGTACACAGGAAGCTTCTTCTTACCATGCTAGTGCAGAGCACAAGGGCATGATCCTAAAAGTGACACTCTAATGGTGCTGCTCACCTGGAAACACAGGAAACAGGGCCTGGAGAGACCTACAGGGTCACCCAGCCCAACCTACTGAGCCAACAGGAGATCAAATCCACCTCTATTATATTTTAGCACTCTTGGACACTGAGCCTGCTGCAGTGTGTTTTCCTCCCAAAAGTGCAGGATGCCATAACAAAGGGCAGCTTGTCCATATTTGTTCCTAGGGCAGCCCCCATCATGCTGCACACCTGACATCTCCTTCCATCTCCCACTCTGGAAGACAACCAGCATCAGAGCCTTCACTGCCCTCCTGGGAATATCTACTGCAGGGCTTCTCTAGTCACAGGGCTTACTCACCATCCTTCTTTTCCTCCCTTTAGCCTCAGGACTGGCTTTTCCTTGAAGGCAGAAGAAGCCTGAGCACTAGAGGTAGCTTAGAGCCTCCCTGTCCACCATCCTTGGTACATGTCAGCTTTTGCCTAAGCCAGCCATGTCTGCTTGCCAGAAGGAATTCCAGTATCTCAAAATCCACCAGCTTACTCAGCAGCTGTGTGCTGTGTCCCATTTTCCTGGATTTTGCAATTGGATCAAATTTTGTATGTGGAATAATTTTCCTGCCCACAATCAGTGCTGGCTGCAGCAATACTTGTTGTTTGCAGAGTTGTGTTTTGGGTTTGTCAGTCTGCTGTGCTCACAGCACCTGCTGTGTGAAACGAGCCAGTACCAGCTCAAAGCCTAAGAGAGATGGAGCAGGTGCCTAAGGAAGTTCAGTGCTCCTCAGAGCACAGAACATAAGAGATTAGGGAAGCTTTGAAAAAGCCATCAGGATTCCTAGGGGGCAGAGAACATGATGGATGGAGGCTTTTGGGGCTGGGCTTGTTAAAATTACAAGAAACAGGAACAAAAAAAAGGAGAAAGAATGTTTTATTTCAAATGCTGGTGTACATCAATATTGCACGTAACTGAAACATCTAGAACAATACACATGCAAGGAGTTTTCTAATCCTCAGCCATACACAATCCAGAACAGGATACAGAAAACACTGAATATGCACATATATATATTCTGATGAGCAGAGTGTACGAATTAAACTAGAGTGAAGTACAATCCTTATAAATCAAAACCCCTCTTTATTTAGACATGCAAGATCTCCTGATCCCTTCATCTTCTGAACACATCTGAAGGTAGAAGCTAAACAACTCCAGTGAGGATAAACTCCCTGCTGAGCCAGATGGCTGCAATATGAGGATTTAGTGACTCCCATCTTTCCTGCTTTCATCATGACTAGTGACTCTTCAGAACATATTTAGAAGCCTCTGGTAGGAGCACTCGTGACAACTGATAGGAACCACAATGGCCATTGTTAAGTAATTAAAAGAAGCCAAAGACCCCACTCAGCAGCCTTTTTGCTTGGGGAAATTCCCTCATTCAACCAATTCCAAAGACCCCCACAGTCCTCAGAGTTGTGCTTTAAAGCCAGGAATAATACAAATGGAAGCAGACCATAACTTTAAAGAGATCTCATAACCAACTTAGCAGATATGCAGGAAAAGAAAGTTTCCATTTCCAATCCTACACCTTGGCAGGTAACAAGGAGGATCAAGGGACACAGCACCACTACAAACTCATGACTGTCCTTACCCAGCGCAGGAACCGGGAGAGTTTGGTATAGACCCCATATTTGCCTTTCCTTGCACATCCTTCACCCCAGCTAACAATTCCAGTAACAAAATAAGTATCCTTGTATCTGGTCACATGGGGGCCACCACTGTCTCCCTGGCAAGCATCCTTTTGCTCTGTGTCATAACCAGCACAGAACATGTTCTCAGTTACCACAAAGTAAGTGGATTGCTCACAAGTGCTCTTATTAACATAGGGGAGTTCAAGCACCTTCAGTTTCTTTGGGAGTTGTCCACCATCATATTCCCGCCCAAAGCCACTAACCCTTCCAGATTTCTGCTTCATCAGAACTTCATTAGCAAAGTCTACTTTGGGGAGACATGCTGGGATGATGTACTGTGAAAACGTGATAGGTTCCTTCAGCTTTAGTAAGGCAATGTCATTATCATAAGTCTCAGCATCAAATTTGGAGTGAACAATGATTTTATCCACAGTGTGCATTGATTCAGACTGCTCCTTCTTCTCTCTGTCCACTTCACCTGCACAAGAGCATTAAAAGGGTCATCAATGTGGAGAAAATATAAGAATTTCAGGACAGAGGAAGAGAGTAGTATATTCATTCTGAGTACTTCTTCCAGGACCTTAGACCACAGAAGGAAACTGTAAACAGGCAACATTTCTTAGCAGCAAGTGGATTGGCTTTGGCCCTGAGATTTGGTCTGTGGAGATTTTGTAGCAGTTTACAGAAAGGCATATGCTGATTCAGCTAAACTCATGCAATTTTGTGTGGAAGCACTTCCAGGAGCTTGAGCCTGGCTTAGAGAAGAGAACAGGGTTTGGACTACAACAGTGCAAAGATGAAGCTGGCTCAAAAGGGAAAGCAATGGGAAATCTGAGTTTGTTCTTGTCTGCTCTATTCAATGAGTCAGAGCTTTCCTGAGGGTTCTTGCAGGAACAACTCTGGATGATTCTGAAGTGCCAGGAATGATGAGCTTCCTGCAGAAACACTGCTCTGCTGAACACATAGATAACCAATATTTCTAGAATATTTAACTGCAATCCCTTCCAGCTATCTGGCAGAGAAGAAAGAGAGGCACCTATTGTTACAAAGAAGTATGGTCAGAATAACAAGAAATTATAAAAAGCAGCAAAAAGGTAACAAAGCTTAATGAATCACGAGTACATCTCATGGGAGATTTAAGGCACAGAAGGTTCGGCAGAACAGCTACTCTCACCTCAGAGGAGTAAAAGAAATAATCACTCACCAACAACAACTTTGATTTCTTTGGATTGGTTTATGCAATGAGCTGCAGTAAGTATAAAATTTTCATTCAGAATAGTTCCACCACAAAACTCTTCTCCTTCCTCGTTTAACAGAACAGCCTGTGAAATAAAAAAAGTAAGTGCACAAGGAACAAGCGCGATTTAATGTTGATGAGCTATAAAGCGCTAACTGATTTCTCTGCACACTACAGAGATGCTGCTTACTGCAACATGTATGTGGCCCTCCTAGCCTTGCACTCCCACGTCTCTCCTAGCCTTGCACTCCCACATGCAGAGCCTGCAGATTGACTGCTACAGAGTCCTGATTGTCTCTAGGTGAAGTTAAAACATTTGCCTTCCACATTACCTCACTGCCGGTGCTGAGTAACGTCCCTCAGGCATTGACTGACTGAGCAGGCAGAGTGCAGATGCCTGATCACCACAGCCCTTGGACTTACCCCCCAAACAATGTTCAAATACAGGAATTCATTTTGGCTGACCCAAACCCAAGGGTGAAACTGAGACATGAGGGTGTATTTCTGAACCAAAATGCTGGCTTTATCTGCTTTATCACCCTGCTCTCAGGTGTGCTGCCTGGGTGGATGGTCTCAGACAGAACCAAAATGTAACCTACAAAAATGCCCTGGGAGAACAGCATGACCCAAAGTCCTCTCTGGGGATAGGGTAGGCAGTTCCCCCTGAAATGGCACGCAGCCTTTTGTTTTGACCCCGTGAGGCTGCACTTTGCAGAACAGCACATCCAAGTGCCCAGGGTCACACAGCTCAGCCACGTCTCACTGCCGCTGCACGTGACATGGGTCATGTTCAGAAGGCTCCCAGCTGGAAGGAGCCTCTGCTCCTCTTCCCTCAGACACATTCTCCCCACAGGCAGGGCAAAGCCCCCTCCATTCACCTGCCATGGGCATTGGCCAGGAAGACACTCATCCCCACCAACTATCCTGGTATTGACATATGGATTCTTGCTGCTTGTTCTGTTGTCAGGTGGAGGTGTTGGGCTTTCTGTGGTAATTACAAAGTTCTCCTCTGTGGTCATTTCGTATGGAGGAGGGTCTGCTTCATCACTTGTTACATTGCTGTGGTCAGTGGGTAAAAGAAAAGACCTTTTCTTCCTCACGACAGAAACTTTTCCACAAGGGTATTTTACTGTAAAGAGAAGAATCCTAAAATTAATGATAGAAACACTAACACAAGAAGAAACTCCTTGGAAATACAATCTCACAATATACAGTGCTGCTTCCTCATTTTCCAGACAATACGAAAGACTTGGCACATGGAATCAAGGAAGAAAGACCACATGGTTTGAGAAATGAGTGCTATTTTCTCATCATGAAAGCTCTCCTTCACCCTCCGTTTCATAGTCATGTTTTGAAAGTATTTATAATTTAATACACCATCATCAATCTGTTTTTAACAAATTTCATACATCATCTTCAAGTATTTACATTGATATATTCATGTCATTCCTCTTAATAAAATGTACTTAATTTGGAGAGTGAGTGAAGTGCTTTATTTTAGGAATAATATGGCTAATGACAGCAATTTATTAGCTATAAAAGATATTAAACCTGACATGATATCTCAATGGTTGACCTACCCCGCCCCTGTGGTATTTTGAAATACAATAAAATTGTACATATATACATTGGATAATTATGATTAGCACTATCTCTTCAGTTACAAGTTGATAAGGTTAACTGCAATTTAAGTATAAATTTTTGCAAGCTGCTCTTTTGTATGGTCTGTAAGTGTTTAAGCAAAGATCCTACTGTGATCACTTTTCTCAGTGTGGTCTCACCTTGAGTCCTGTGTACAGTTTTTGACCTATAAATATCAGAAAGATATAAAGCTCTTAGAGAGCATCCAAATGAGGGCAACAAAGACAATGAAGGGCCTTGAGGGGAAGTAGGAGGAGTGGCTGAGGTCAATTGGTCTGTTCAGCCTGGAGAAGAGGAGGCTGAGGGGAGGCCTCATTGTGGTCAATAACTTTCTCCTGAGGGGAAGAGGCGGGGCAGGCACTGATCTCTTCTCTGTGGTGACCAGGACATGGAATCACAGAATCCTTTAGGTTGGAAATGACCTCCAAGATCATAGAATTCAACCTTTGACAGATCACCACCTTGTTAATTGGACTATAGCTTTATGTGGCACATTCAGTTGTTTCTTGAAAATCTCCAGGGATGGTGACCCCCCCACTTCCCTGGGCAGTGCATTCCAGTACTGGACAGCCCTTTCCATGAAGAAACCTGAGAGAATGGCAGGAAGCAGTGTCAGGGGAGGTTTAGGTTGGATAGTAGAAAAAGGTTCTTCACCAAGAGGGTGGTTGGGCATTTGAACAGGTTCCCCAGGGAAGTGGTCAAGGCCCCAAGCCTGACAGTTCAAGAAATGTGGGGACAACAATCTCAGGCACATGGATTTATTCTTGGGGCAGTCAAGTAATAGTCCATGAGGTGGGTATTCATGATCATTGAAGATTTCTTTCAAAACAGGATAGTCTGTGATTCTACGATTTTTTATTATCTTGTTAACAGCAGAATTTACTCTGACATGCCTCACTGAGAGGCATCTTGCAAAGGGTTCAAAATCATGTACATTTTGATCCACTCCATCATAACACCTCACAAATGGAAAGCTTTTGAAATATAAATCAGTTAGCCTTACTCTTGAGTCTATGTCATGTAGGATACTGGTGATTCAAAAGACATTCCTCAACTGCAAACCAAGACACCCCTTAACAGTGAAACAAGTCTCACCAACCACTGCTATTGCTTTATCTCATGGCTGCGTACCTGTTGCAACACAGTGTTTGCCATCCTCTGCTAGAACATACCCATCTGCACAGGAGCACACCACATCCTTCTGCCCATCTCTTCGGACGCTGCAGAACTGCTCACAGTCCCCGTTGTTTATTCTGCAGAACTTTGGTATGACTATAAAAGAGATGATGGCAGAAAAACTGGACATAAACACTGACTTCACAGAAGATCTGGAAGTTCCCCAAATTTAAACGGGATCTGTATCCCCACCTGCCAAGCACCTGAAGTACCCTTGAGGAATAACTCATGTGAGTGCTGAACATCAGCTTGTGCCTTACAAAGCAGCCACATCCAGCACACCAATTGTACTTGCCAGGTCCAAGTGGGCCCAGTGGCCATGGCATGGTGAGCTCAAAAAGCAGAGACAAATTGTCAGGGGAACAATGAACAAAACACTAACACAGAACATAATTGTGGAAATCCTCACACAATTCCTCCTTCCTGCCCTAAAAACTCCAACTCCTCATCTTGCCCCTTGGTCCTGTGACTGAACTTCAATTCCACACTCCTGCTCTTACTTCTGGGCTAATGATACCCCCCCTGTCACAGGGGCAGCTCTATGCCACAGAAGTGAGCCTCAGGAAGGATTTCCATGCAACACATGCTTCCTTACAAAGCTCCCTGGGAAGTTCACCGCCATGGTTCTCTAAAGCAGAAACTTACCAAATTCACAGTTCTTGCCTTGATAACCATCCAAGCACGTGCAAGTGTAGGAACCAATTCCATCTTTACAGTGGCCACCATAGTGACAAGGATTTGAACTGCACTGGTTCCCATCTACAAAAACAAACCAAATCCAAATTACTCTAAGTGTGCAAGCATTTTCAGTGGCCACAGAAGGGCTCTTAGTTTTCTTAAGCCATCTTTCATCCTTCCTTTCAAAACATAGGTCCTGTGAGTTGCCACATTCCAGATGGAACAGTATAAACACAATCATTCCAAACCTGCAATGATTCATCTTTATATCCTCAGTTTTGCAATCTCTTTTTGGTGGCCACTGTATTAGGATGTGCACACAAGCCCTTTTTTTACAGGAAGATTACGTAATACATAGTGGTCAGAGTCTACATAACTTACAATGAATCCTGTAAAACCAGACAGGACATTTCTATATTGCAACTACTGGCTGAAAACCATCAACTTTTATTTCCTTAAAGGTCATGTCAGGCCTTCTGCATGTCTTTTGCCTGCAGAGCTGTTCATTTAAAGACACAGATACTGGTTTATTAAGCAGAAGCTAATAATACCCCCAAACTTTACAAAACCCTGCTAAAGTCACATGAGCAGGCCAAACTTCTATTCTGTACTGCTTAGAGAACCAAAATTTTCTCACTGTATCCATTGAGGTATGAGCTTGAGCTTGTAGTTATTACCTCTTACCTCATGCTTCCCACATCTATGCTGGCATCTTGAGTTCTGCAGCCTTTCTTCCTTTCCTAGACACACCGGGCGACCTGACTGCAGGGCCCCAGCCACACATACCTCACAAACTCAGTATATGAGGACATTGAGGTCAGGGAGGTAACTCTGCATTTGAAGACACGTTTCATGTAGCAGCTCTTTCTCCCACCCATCTCATTCCTTTTCTGATATGGTCTTTCCCATTTAGTGCTCTGCTGCAAAAAATGTGTTACCCCCTCACATATGTTCTCTGGGATGCACTGTTTCATGCAAGAAGTAGGATATCCAGAGAAGTGACACTTGCTCAAGAATTCACTGCTTTAAAGACAAATTTCAAATTTCTAAATTTTACCACCTGCTCTGCCCCTGTTTAGAGCATGGTCAGAATAGGTGGGATAATTTATTTTATTAAGTGGAGATGTGATGGTTTTGTGACGAATTAGAAAATCACAGTGATATATGGGGTAGGGTTCTTGTTCTCCTTTGTACAGTTAAATATTGTGGACATCATTTTGTCCCTCAGCAGCTTACAAATGGATAGTAAGGGTTATTTAATTATCATGTCTCCTGAGAACATGAAGAATAGCCCATTAATTGTGCTGAGCCTTTGAAAACACTACATATCAACATACAGAACCCATAATTTACACTGACACAATTGTCACTCCAAAATGGAATTCCCCATGTGCCTCAGCCCTGGGTATCATTACACTGCAGCTGGCAAAGTGGAGCAAGGTTGGTGAGACAGCAAAGCCACCTGGTGTTCACTCATTTCCCTTGCCCCGCAAAGCAAAAATATTGACAGCTACCTGCATGGTTTAGGCAAAGCAGCACAAAGCCAAGGTGAAGCAACACTCTACCTGTCTGCCTCATCTGGAGGAAAAGGAGGACAACAGGAAGAAGCCCCATTGTCCCACGGTGACCTGCCATGCCCGTGCTCCGAGCGCGCTGCGCGTCACCCGCTGCTCGCTCTGCAGGACTCTGGGGCAGCTGTGAGGGAGAAACACCGCAGTGCAAGGGTCAGCCACTCATGAGAAAACAAAACCTCCGAGAGCAAAGTCTGCACTCAGTGTCACCACGGCACAGTGTTCAAACACAAAACACGTGCGTGTGCTGCAGCAATGCCCCACTGATAGCTTTGTGCTGGCAGAGCACCTCTAAGAGGCTTTCCTCTGGAAATTTGGACAAAGCCTCTCTAAAGCAGCTGGACTATGCAGGCAGCCAGGAGCTATAGTGGGTGATGGGGCTCTTGCCCATGTCCCAAGGAAGGCAGACGATCAGAGCCAGAGCTTTGTGCCTCCTGTATGCTGGGCCAAAGCAGGAAGGCACTCCAGAAGTGAGGAGTAAATCAGGGCACCGAGTTTGCAGGTCTCAGGGAGCACCTTGCAAAGTTGTTACCCACCAGCTCTGTCACAAGCACACTTGGACAGAGCACACTTCCACAGATTCATCAATTTCCATCCCATTGTGAAAGTTGGGGGTTGTTATTGTTTGAAAGCAAACCAGTGGGAGATCCCAAGTCAGAAATACAATTTAATAGGAAAATTAAAGTAAATGCAATAATACAGAAACACTGACAGAGTCAGAATACAACCTGACACCCTGTTAGTCCAGGTGTTGGTAGCAGTCCAGTTAACTGGCGGCTGCAGTCCTCTTGAAGTGATAGATGTGGTTCTGTTGAAGCAGTGTTCCTGTAAAAGGGTTTGTTCTTCCTCTGAAGGTCCAGTGGTGGTTATGGAACTCTTGTCTGGGAATTCAGTGGATAAGGCTGACTGTGACTGTTACACGCCTCAGATTATATGCAGATAGGAAAGCTTGGTTCCTCCCCTTGGGTGGAGCATCTCACAATGGGATGATGTATTTTTATCATGCACTCACACTCAATGGCCTATTAACAAAAGACATCCCCTGGAGTTATCAAGGATGAGTAATGAAGGAGACAAGGAACACTGCCTGATATGGTTTTAACAGCTCATGAAGATGCTGATGGAATACATACTTTTGGGTACATCTCACATTGTACCCTAAAACGAAGGCTTATGGGTTTTATGTGCTGTTTCCTTTTGTTCAAACCACTCCAAGGGGACAGCTCTTGACAGGCCATTGTGCTTTGGGAATCAAGCTATGGAAGACAATCCTGCCAGGTCAGTCACCTGGGCCAGGGAGCAGTACACAGGAAGCTTCTTCTTACCATGCTAGTGCAGAGCACAAGGGCATGATCCTAAAAGTGACACTCTGATGGTGCTGCTCACCTGGAAACACAGGAAACAGGGCCTGGAGAGACCTACAGGGTCACCCAGCCCAACCTACTGAGCCAACAGGAGATCAAATCCACCTCTATTATATTTTAGCACTCTTGGACACTGAGCCTGCTGCAGTGTGTTTTCCTCCCAAAGTGCAGGATGCCATAACAAAGGGCAGCTTGTCCATATTTGTTCCTAGGGCAGCCCCCATCATGCTGCACACCTGACATCTCCTTACATCTCCCACTCTGGAAGACAACCAGCATCAGAGCCTTCACTGCCCTCCTGGGAATATCTACTGCAGGGCTTCTCTAGTCACAGGGCTTACTCACCATCCTTCTTTTCCTCCCTTTAGTCTCAGGACTGGCTTTTCCTTGAAGGCAGAAGAAGCCTGAGCACTAGAGGGTAGCTTAGAGCCTCCCTGTCCACCATCCTTGGTACATGTCAGCTTTTGCCTAAGCCAGCCATGTCTGCTTGCCAGAAGGAATTCCAGTATCTCAAAATCCACCAGCTTACTCAGCAGCTGTGTGCTGTGTCCCATTTTCCTGGATTTTGCAATCTGTTCAATTCTGTTATGTGAAACCATTCCCAAATAATTTGTCAACATTAAAAAAAGAATGTGTTCTTATTCCTCCATTTCCTGCATGCCCTAGTGTTGCTTATGACCTTGGATAGGAGGTTCAGAGGCAAGCACCTTTTACTCATGTCCTCTCAGCAGGGCAGATATGCTGGCACAGAAAGAGCAATGGACATAAAGGGATGCCTTCAGCTACCCATTTACAGCCCAATCTGAGTTTTCCTTCAGACCTCAAGCTCTGTTTAAGTAGAAGAAAGCCCTTAGCAAGAGTATGTAAGCAGGATTTGGGCAGGACCCACACCTGAGGCTTTCCTTTGGAGAGGGATCTTTCAGCCTGATTGAGCACAAGGAGCAGCACCCGTGGGATTTTAACAGGAACCCAGTGGACAGAATTCAGGGAACAAACACTGCTGAGCAAACATGGAAGGAAGCCCACTGAAGAGTTATACAGGTCAAGACCATCAAGCTGAGATAACTGACCTGCCCACTCACTTTCCTGCCCATAATCAGTGCCTGCTGCAGCAATACTTGTTGTTTGCAGAGTTGTGTTTTGGGTTTGTCAGTCTGCTGTGCTCACAGCACCTGCTGTGTGAAACGAGCCAGTACCAGCTCAAAGCCTAAGAGAGATGGAGCAGGTGCCTAAGGAAGTTCAGTGCTCCTCAGATCACAGAACATAAGAGATTAGAGAAGCTTTGAAAAGCCATTGGAACTGTAAGGGGGTTAGAGGCTAATGGGGCTTTGTTAGAAAAAAACCCAACCAAAGGAGAAAAAAAAGAGAATGCTTTATTTCAAATGCTGGTGTACATCAATATTGCACGTAACTGAAACATCTAGAACAATACACATGCAAGGAGCTTTCCAATCCTCAGCAATACACAATCCAGAACAAGATACAAAAAACACTGAATATGGACATATATATATATATTCTGATGAGCAGAGTGTACAAATCAAACTAGAAGTAGAATACTTATAAAGCAAAACCCCTTTTTAATGAGCTGCTGTGATCTGAACAGGCCATTTTGTGGAATGAGTGATTATTTAGCATCACATATTGATTAATTAATTGTGTCTCAGCTTTATCCATGCAAGATCTCCTGTTCCCTTCATCTTCTGAACACATCTGAAGGTAGAAGCTAAACAACTCCAGTGAGGATAAACTCCCTGCTGAGCCAGATGGCTGCAATATGAGGATTTAGTGACTCCCACCTTTCCTGCTTTCATCATGACTAGTGACTCTTCAGAACATATTTAGAAGCCTCTGGTAGGAGCACTCGTGACAACTGATAGGAACCACAATGGCCATTGATAAATAATGAAAAGAAGCCAAAGACCCCACTCAGCAGCCTTTTTGCTTGGGGAAATTCCCTCATTCAACCAATTCCAAAGACCCCCACAGTCCTCAGAGTTGTGCTTTAAAGCCAGGAATAATACAAATGGAAGCAGACCATAACTTTAAAGAGATCTCATAACCAACTTAGCAGATATGCAGGAAAAGAAAGTTTCCATTTCCAATCCTACACCTTGGCAGGTAACAAGGAGGATCAAGGGACACAGCACCACTACAAACTCATGACTGTCCTTACCCAGCGCAGGAACCGGGAGAGTTTGGTATAGACCCCATATTTGCCTTTCCTTGCACATCCTTCACCCCAGCTAACAATTCCAGTAACAAAATAAGTGTCCTTGTATCTGGTCACATGGGGGCCACCACTGTCTCCCTGGCAAGCATCCTTTTGCTCTGTGTCATAACCAGCACAGAACATGTTCTCAGTTATGGCTAAGTTAGTGGATTGCTTGCAAGTGTTCCTATTAATATAGGGCACCTCGAGCACCTTCAGTTTTTTGGACGTTCGCCCGCCTTCAAATTCCCGCCCAAAGCCACTAACCCTCCCAGACTTCTGTGTCATCAGAACTTCATTAGCAAAGTCTACTTTGGGGAGACATGCTGGGATGACGTACTCTGAAAATGTGACAGGTTCCTTCAGCTTTAGTAAGGCAATGTCATTATCATAAGTCTCAAGAATAAATCTGGAGTGAACGTATATTTTATCCACAGTGTGCATTGATTCAGACTGCTCTGTCGTCTCTCTGTCCACTTCACCTGCACAAGAGCATTAAAAGGGTCATCAATGTGGAGAAAGTATAGGAATTTCAGGACAGAGGAAGAGAGTAGTATATTCATTCTGAGTACTTAGTCCAGGACCTTAGACCACAGAAGGAAACTGTAAACAGGCAACATTTCTTAGCAGCAAGTGGATTGGCTTTGGTCCTGAGATTAGGTCTGTGGAGATTTTGTAGCAGTTTACAGAAAGGCATATGCTGATTCAGCTAAACTCATGCAATTTTGTGTGGAAGCACTTCCAGGAGCTTGAGCCTGGCTTAGAGAAGAGAACAGGGTTTGGACAGTGCAAAGATGAAGCTGGCTCAAAAGGGAAGCAATGGGAAATCTGAGTTTGTTCTTGTCTGCTCTATTCAATGAGTCAGAGCTTTCCTGAGGGTTCTTGCAGGAACAACTCTGGATGATTCTGAAGTGCCAGGAATGATGAGCTCCCTGCAGAAACACTGCTCTGCTGAACACATAGATAACCAATATTTCTAGAATATTTAACTGCAATCCCTTCCAGCTAGCTGGCAGAGAAGAAAGAGAGGCACCTGTTGTTACAAAGAAGTATGGTCAGAATAACAAGAAATTATAAAAAGCAGCAAAAAGGTAACAAAGCTTAATGAATCACGAGTACATCTCATGGGAGATTTAAGGCACAGAAGGTTCGGCAGAACAGCTACTCTCACCTCAGAGGAGTAAAAGAAATAATCACTCACCAACAACAACTTTGATTTCTTTGGATTGGTTTATGCAATGAGCTGCAGTAAGTATAAAATTTTCATTCAGAATAGTTCCACCACAAAACTCTTCTCCTTCCTCGTTTAACAGAACAGCCTGTGAAATAAAAAAAGTAAGTGCACAAGGAACAAGCGCGATTTAATGTTGATGAGCTATAAAGCGCTAACTGATTTCTCTGCACACTACAGAGATGCTGCTTACTGCAACATGTATGTGGCCCTCCACGTCTCTCCTAGCCTTGCACTCCCACATGCAGAGCCTGCAG